TGTATGAATGTGATGAAGCTCTGATTGGTCTCATTAGAATGATTTGTTCAATTATCTCTGTAGAGATCTAGTATAGAGCTGTATGAATGAGTAAATGAGGCACAGATTGTTGTAAAGAGCTTTGAGTATCTTGATCAGATAGAAAGGAGCTGTATAAGTACAGTCCATTTAAATACTCAGAGTTAGTCTAGATCTGGTTCTGTTTTGAGCTTTAGTCCGCTGAGTTCTGAATGTTTACCCGGTTGGGTTTGTGTGACATGCTGGCTGTATACCAGCAGCTAATCCTCCCCTTTACAAGAGAAATGTCAGGCTTTATGAGCCCAAACTTGAAGGGAGTGCTTGTTTTATTGTTCTGTTTGTGCCTCAGACGGGGATGAGCGACGTCGATTACATCAATGCCTTCCAACAAGTGCTGCTACCTGTGGCCTGCGAGGTAAACGCACAGTCACCATGTTTGTGTTCATGCGTGTTGCCATCACTGAGTGTGTGTCTGCAGTTTCAGCCTCAGCTGGTTCTGGTCTCTGCTGGATTTGATGCTACAGTTGGAGATGTGAAGGTACCTTACTGCCACAGACCTCAGGTCTGCTGAACACGTGTTGCATGTTCCTGACTGACCGTGCACGTGTGTGTGTGTTAGGGGAAAATGTGTGTGACTCCTCCTTGTTTCCACATTCTGACGCACATGTTGATGAGGCTGGCAGAAGGTCGGCTTGTTCTTGCTCTCGAGGTAAAACGTCTTTCATTTTCTCAAACACACATCAGACACGTAGAACATGTGGAACACATGAAACACACATCAGACACGTGAAACACATGTTGGATATGGAAAACGCATGTCAGACACATGGAACTCATGTCAGACACGTGAAACACGTCAGACACGTGAAACACACGTCAGACACCTGAAACACACGTCAGACACCTGAAACACACGTCAGACACGTGAAACACACGTCAGACACGTCATGTTCGTGAAACATGTGAAACACTGAAACACACGTCATGTTTGTAAAACACGTTAGACACTTAAAACACACATCTGACACATCATGTTCGTGAAACGTGAAACACGTGAAACATGTGAAACATGTGAAACACACGTTATGTTCGTGAAAAACATCAAACACACATCAGACACGTGAAACACACGTCAGACACGTCATGTTCTTGAAACATGTGAAACACATGTGAAACACGTGAAACACACGTCATGCTTGTGAAACACGTCAGACACGTCAGAGTCAGAGTTTCTTTATTGT